GACTTTCAGCGGCCTCGCATAATATAGGGAGTTTGGATAAGAGGCAAAGCGTATGAAGAACGAAGTATGATGCGCCAGCTGATGGAATTAACCATAAGAAGCTAAAAGGCCTCTACAATTTGAAGCATGATAATTTTTGAAAGCACTTTACTATTTCACGCCACTGGATGAGCAGTTAGACTTCGATCTTGCCGAATGGAATTTATGGAATCATCCCCAGACACCAAATAAATGATTAGAGATATAGATAAGGTTGGTTATTGGAAAAAGAAGCTAGCATTTTGATTTTCGGCAGCTTATTATTCAAAGTCACAGATCAATTGTAAATAAAACAAGAACTTATATTCAGTTCCTAAGAAAACATCGAAGATTACCTAATCGCGAAAGCCGTGGCTTTCGTTCCGAGAGAACGTTGGGTTAGACCATTGAATATCGAGACAGTTAATAAAAATATTGAGTTATAACGAGAAAAAAGGATTCGAGAAATTGAATTCAGTTTACCTAGTAAAACTCAGGAAAGTCTGAGGGTGACGTTTCCTAAACTATAAGACACCCGGAACAAAAAACATCAATTTGATTATATAACCTTTTACCTTTGCCACTAGTATACCGGCACAAACTAGCAAGAGCAAAGGGAGTGCCCTTCACAAGACCCGGCTATCTCTAAACGTTTGGCTCAAATCAAACATGGAAACAACCGCATATCAAAAGCGACCCACTTACAGCTTTGCCCTTAGCACAGGGAATTCCCAACTCTCCGAGCCGAGAACCAGCCACCAGTCCGCCAAGCGCAAGACTGTGCCCAGAAATACTATCAGCCGAAGTGACGGAGCCCAGCACGCTCATGCAACGATTCATCAGAGGCACCCGCTGGCTTGGCAGTGCGATAGCCAGTTGACGGAGGACTGCTGCAGCAGCAACACGCACACCCAAAGAGGTGTGAGACAAACACGCGTCAAAAAGGGTGTCCACCAGATTTGACGGAGGCGAGAGAATGGGAGCTAGACGATAAGTAAAGTAACTATTAGGAAAGAATGTGTTAAGCTCAATCTCACTTTCGTTAACAAGCAATGAAATTTATGCTCAAACCATAACTACTATTCACGTACCAACACTGGAGTCCAGCCACCTAATCACCTCTGTCAGAACATCCAGACAGCATATTAAGTAGTTTGGATCATCCGCATTACCACCACTGGCACCACTACTAGCTCCGACAGTTCCAGCTCCACCATTCCCTTCTTCACCTCCCTCCCCAGTTCCACCCCCATTAGAGCTGCCGGTAGCCTGCTCGTCCAACTGTTCTGACGAGCTAACCGATCGCAGACTCTTCGCAAATCCTCTTAGCTGTGATTGTCCTTGTTGGGGTTGATTTGTACGCTTTCGCATTCGCGTTGAGAGGAGAACGATGAGGTTCCGTGCTACCGCGACTTGAGCTGTCTCCGAGAAGTGTCGACGCAGCAGACGCGGTAGTAGGTGTCCTCCCAAGCAGAGACGCGTAAAGGCCGCTTCACTGGGGGTTGAGGTAGAGCGAGGGCTTGTGAGGAGGGAGAGACAATGGGAAAGCATTGTGTAGCTGTGCGCCACTAGCCAATCAGAGCCAAGATGAGTGAAGAACTCCAAGTAGACCTAACGGATTCAGAAATAACCAGAAGCCGTTTCAATGTCAAGAGGAATGCGAACACTCATGAATGCGCACATAGGTGATGCCTGCGCGAACTTCACGGCTGACACTGCTGGAGCCTTTGTGGAAGCGACTGGGACCACGGAGGAAGGCGGACGAAAGAAGAGTGAAGATGTCATCTAAGGTAATGGGTTTGCTCCTACTTACTGCGATATTTTGATCTAAAGAGAGGAAAAGTAATTCAATCAGACTTCACCCACTAAAATTTCGTATGTCTTATAATGTTTTAGTAATCAGTATCATTAACTAAATGGGAAGATTGCAGATTGTGCCTTTTATTAAACAATTGCGGCATGTTCGTACGCAACACATTTCAAAGTATGTTAACACAAATGAGGTTCAAATATAGAAACTTAGAATACTGTGTCGTAATAGGGCTGG